ATCACTTTATTATTTATATCATTTAGAACTGAAATATTCTTGCTTAGTTTCATCCACATGATGAATATCCTTGGACTACTTGAGGCAAATCACATCAGACATTTGGATTACTCAATAGAGCTAAGGAGAGGAAATATATCTTCGTAGCTGATGCAGTTTTGTTTAGTAGCCAAGGATATTTTTAGAATACAGAAGGAAAAACACCAGACAGAAAAAGACTTGTAAAGAAACCCCAGATAAAATACCAGAAACAGAGCAGATGGGTACAAAACCAAACAGCTTAGGAGGGCCAGATAAACCTTTAAAACTGTTATGTTCCATACTGTCCTAGTATTAATAAGAAGACAGCAAGATACGGGTATATCAATTTTAAATGATTAAGAACAAACAAAATTTGATACTAGTGCATCTTTCGTTGTTCCATTTTAGCATCTGACAAGCCTGGTGTTAAAGGAAAAAAATATTAGAGATCTACTTGAATGAGCAATAGAAAGAGAGAGAATGCAGAATTAGACCATCCCTGTGACCACTGAGAAAGGGGTCAGGGTTGGTCTTCTACTAGAATGGCACACAGAATTCCAGACAAACTATGCATACTGCTGGAGAAATACGCACCTCTCAGTAGAAGCAAGCTGGAAAGAAATAACAGTAACAATGGACGAGGAGAACGAAGTACAGTGGATTAAGATTTATTCCGAACTCTATGAATGTGAATCAGTGAATCAGTCCTCAAGAAAGACAGAGAAAACGCTGATGGACGTTTTAGATATGTGCTGTGCTAGGAAGACTCGAGACTCGTGATAGAAGGTTATGGAACCAACAGAGACTGCATGAGACATTACTCCATGCATATAAGACAATAAAACACAGCTGGAAGAAAATTATTAATAATTTATATCAATAACCCAGTGGTGATTACAGCTTTACTGCAGCTTTACAGTGCAGAGACATTGAGGAATATTCCTGTGGTGTTGTCAAGGCAACCTGCAAGTACGTAGGTGTGCAATTCTGTGGGCGTTTGTATCAAATGAGGGAGAACTAAGGAAATGAGAGCAGAATCTGTGTTTCCTTACCCCTGAAAAAGCTGAAACTTTTAGCTGGAGATCAAGAAGAGCTGGAGTAAATGCTAGGAGGAATTGTATGCTAGAGCTCACCAATTCCACAGAGATGGAGCCTCCTCCCACGTTTAAGACCAACAGAGTATGAACAGGGCACAGTCTGGAGAAATCAGACTACCTTCAGATACACTGCTGACATACTATGAAAGTATTGACTGCTTCTTTAATTCCCTAAGTGCTACATATACACCGTGTGGTTATATCTTTAGCATCAGTACTCATGCTACCTGCTACATACTTTTGTTAATTATTTATTATTTAAAATGATGCTTCTGAATTCTGATTTGAATCATGATTCCTTACCCAGTAGAGCACCCACAAGCATTTATTTTTTCACTCATGCTACCTTCTTGACCACTTAATTAAAAGAGGAATGTAATGAGGTGGCTAACACAAATGAATTTTACTTTGCAAAAGAGGGACAGAGAAGTAGAAGGGCAGCTAAGAGCACACACTCCTCCAATTACTGAGGCTCCAATGAGATGTGACAACTTGTTGAGCTGTGACCAGTTCCTAGCACTGATAAATCCTTGAAAACAAGCTGCTTCTGGCACCAATATGATACTGGACTGCTTAAAACCTCTTAAAGCCTCCCTCTCTTCTGACCACCTTCCTCTTTTACAGGCCTGTCACGGATAGCAGCAGAGCCACACTCACAGAAATCCCCAGGCTTCTCTCCCCTGCCCCCCAAAAATGCAGTTCATCCCATCAGCATTGGCCAGAACTGTGACTGATTAAGGACAAGTTCTGCATGGCCTGTCCCTAAATAACAGGGAAAAAAAAATAATCTCACAATGATTCGCAGAGGTAAAATCTCAAAAAGGCAATGCAACGATGCTAAGCAATCTAAAAAGATAAAAAGATAGGGATTCTTAAGGCTCTGTTTCAAAGTCTACATACTGCTAAGTAAAGCTAACTATGAAGTGTTTGCAGTGCTGATGAAATTTGGAGTATACAATGAGACAATTCACTTTGTAATAAATCATACTTTTGTGTGTAGCTTTTGAACTCAGCAAAGACACGTGATTTCCCATGCATTTCTGGAATACTATGCTGCACCATTACAAACAGAGATGAAAAAATAATCTTTTCACTGAGCTTCTATTTACTGTGGAGTATTGTGTTACTTAGTAGTCAATGTATTCTCCACCATTCACTGTGTGCAGATGAGGTTCCTACATTTGGTTCAATGAGGGCTGATGTAGAATTAAATTCAGGCACAGGGATGCAGGAGTCAGCTCTTGCCAGGCTCAGTGGTAACTGTGTCCACTCCTGGAGAGCCATCTCCCATGTTCTCAGACCAGAGACATAATATATACACTTAAACACAACCATATTGTTCTAATTCACTTCTCTGACAGACATCCACCAATTCAAGAGCCTTCTGCTATACCACAGTTTTCACCTACCCACCAAATGAAAGAGCGAGGTAGGGTGAATCCAGGTGATGCTGTCTTAACCACCTCCCAAATGCTCTCAGTTCAGAACCCAAATTTTCCCTAACGTTATGCTGAAATATATACATGATGAAATGTAGGCAGGGCACCACCTTTTCCAGTCTGCAATTTTAGAATTATGTCTAAAAAAAAATAAACAAACAGAAGGCAATCCTGACCAACCAGCATTTTACACAGGCTTAATAAGCTAAATGGTTGCACCAGCAGGACCTTCCAAAACAAGATGCTTTAATTTCAGGACTTCAGAACAATTTACAAACCACCACAGGAATTCTAAATGTATTGTAGATCTAGGGACAGACACAAAAACCTGAACTGAATGTGTAATTTATTTTGGCCATAAATAAATGAACTGTTAAAACACTCAGAAGTGGAATACAGGCACAAAAAATATAATTCCTGGACCACATATGGCAATCCACACAAAAGCCCTAAAAATCTAGCAGATCTGTTGCAAATCTGGTCCAGAAATGTACAAACTTCAATTTACAACTGAATCTCCTTCAAGTCATTCTTAGCATCTCAGATATTCATCTAAGACTCTGTAAACCCAAAGAACAAATACATTGGGCAAAGAAGCAACTCAGGATCCTCAAAACATCCTAACAAACAAATCTGGTTGATTGCTGCCCTATATGAACACCTTCAGCCACATTCACCCATAAATCCCTACAAGACTCAGTCTCACAGTCCCTTTCCAAATACAAGACACTTCTGAGTAACAGCCACGCTTCCGAGCCTACGGAACCCATACAGACACAGCTGAACTATCCCCTAAAGTAGACTTCAAAATATTCAGCCACAATCAAGGTGTAGCACTTTTGCAGAAGAGCCCTCTCTGTCACCTACTGTTGCTGCATTTACCCAGACACCGCTCTGTCCCTTGGGAAGGGAATACCTCTGTTGTGCCTACAAAACCCTCCAGGAGGGCAGAGCTCACACAGACCCACACAGCCAAGCCATGCAACATCACTTAGGTGCCCTGAAAACACCATGGCAGCACCCTTTCTCATGGGGGATGCTATTAGGATGGACTGCATATGAGTGACACCTTCACAGCACATTGCAAAGATGATATGCTAATCCCTACATGGCTTTGGACACAGAGGGCTGCAAAGACACTGGCTAAGTATCAGTTTCTGACCAAAAGTTCTGAAATGTTGCAAAGAAGAGGTCTGCTGGACAAACTCCTCCTGCACTGCAGACTTAGGGGAAACAGCTAACAAAGAACGATGTTTACAGAAATGAAAACCCAGCAGATGTGACTCAGTCCCCTCAACCTGCACCTTGGCAAATCTGCCTGAATGCAGTGTGAGTCTGACTGCTTTCACAGAGTAAAGGGGACATAAGTAAAGGGGAAGGGCTGTAGGCAAGCCAGCCTCAGATGTTGATCTGAGAAGTGGCTAGGATAACACAGATAACAGAAGTGGCTGAAACTCAAGACTTTCTGCAAGAAAAAAAATTCAGAATAGCTTTTGTTCTGCCTAAGAATAAAATTTATTTTAAGAATGTCCCGCACAATAGGAATACTGAGATATTGTTTTGAAAAACATTTAATAAAGCATTTTGCTCCAAACTCCTGAATGAAATCCTCAAGTGGCTCAGAAAAATGACAATGGCTAGCAATAAATTATACATATTTGAAAAATTATAGATAAATTGTCTTTGTTACCTGCACCTGCAGCAAAATCTACTCATCAGTTAATATTTTCTTGTAGTTTTTAAAGAAGACTACAAACTGTACCATGCATACTACTTTTGCCCATGGGAAGAAATAAACTGCAGAAACCAATCGAAGATTCTCAGTGTTTGATTTTGCTTTTGCAAAACAACCTAGTTAGAAGTCTCTAAGGAGATATTCTAGGATCAATTGCATTAAATTATGTTCTGAGAGTCCAACAGCAAGGCAGAATACAAATGAAGCACAAAAAAGCCATGTTTCCCTTAGTGAAATGAGCACAGATTATAAAAAAGGCAATCTGCAGTTAATATTGCATTGGATTCTGGTTTTGTAGTGTAAAAGTTGAAGTTTTAAAAATTATTTTGAACAATTCAACATTTAGGAACCAGAACACTCTCACTTGTTTTGATCTTTGGTTTGAAAGTGAAATTGGAATTAAGATCTAATAGATCTATTTCAAATTTCTTTCCGATTCTAGTCTGTTCCCATGATCCCAGTCATCTGGGACTTTAGCCATCAGGGGAGCATAGGCACCACCACGAGTGTATGTGAGCCCTTTCCAATGACTTAAGATTTGCATCACCAACAAGAAGGGATCTTCTTTTTTAGCACTCTCCACCCAGCTAAGGTTGTGCTTACCACCTTTTAACTTGGCTGTACGTATCACAGACTGAAAATAAGAGAGGCAGGGCCAAAATTCATGCAGCCAGAAAAAAAAAGTATTATCTTGAGCAAAACACATACCTTTGTGGTATATAAAACATGTGCTGCGGAGGGGGTTTGCAGAGGACTCCTTCATACACAGGCCACAAACCACTTAAAATTCTGAAGAGCGAACTCTTTCCACAGCCATTGGGTCCAGTGATTAGAAGATTCATCCCCTCCTGGACCTACAATAGCAATGAAAATGCAAAGATGTTACTATGCAGTATATATGGCACAAGACAGTCTAAGACCCCTAGAGGGAGTTAGGTGAGCATTTATACCAAATTATCAACCCATTTCATTAGCTACCTGCACATATTTATGCAACTATTCTGGAAACAGTGGCATAGATATAGTATGTGGGCTCAAATAATGAAAATAATTTCTATGTCTGAGTATTTCTAATAACTACACTGATTATGTCACAATGTCAATACACCACAATCAGAATCGTTTATTCTAATGCCGATTAACGGCTTACAGAGCAGCGCTATGCCCATCAGTGATATTAACTTAAACTGTAGGAGCCAAATCAAATGATTTGGAAAATTTACTTCACGTTGCCCTTTCCTGTTTAATTACCAATGTTATTTTGGCTGTGATTCACTCGTTTTTATTCATTTGAATAATACCCTGTGTATATTTATGCATAATCATGTCACTGTCTATGCTTTAAATAAGTATATTGGCTCTGGTATATTTTCTGTTGGTTTTGTCTCTTGAGCCAAATGAATAAATATAACTGTCTCCTTGACCATAAAGTTGTAATTTTACAAATGTGAAAATCCTACACTGAAGGCATTGCAAGTTCTGCCATAGCTAGGACCCTGTCATCCTAGTTGCTAATTCCTATACCAACAGAGGTGGCAAGAGGAACACTCTGCTTTAGGTCAATTAAAGGACCTGCTGGAATTATTCATGTTAGTGTTCTAATAACTTCAACTATTTTTAAGAATATTAACATCTGCACTGGAACATGAGATGAGGATATATATGGCAGTAATTCCATAAAGGTCATCCATTAAAATTGTGAGCAGGTACCGAGTGGTATCTGGAATAGCTTTTTAAAAACAACACAAGTTTTTACTGAGTAAAGACTCCACGGTTGGGCTTGTGAACTACGCTGTCAACTATCAGTTAGTGGTGTGGTGACCAAATGAAACTACAGATTCAATTTTTTCACTGTTGCTGTGATCTCAGACTTTTAAAGGAGCCTATGTGAGTAAAGCATCCCAATTTCAATGAAATTAAGTAAAGATGGATGCAGACTCCCATATACACCTTTGAAAATCTCAGGTCGGTTTTTCACCTGGCAACAGCACCAGAAATCCTCTCTTCTCTTTCTTTGAGCAGGATAAACTACATATGTCTGCCTCTATTGAACTACTATGCCTACCTTTCTGGACTTCCCCTTTTATCCATATGCTCCTCCAAGTACTTAACATAAGGTACATGAATTCTGTGCTGTTTATGTTAATGTGATGGCAACAATCAGAAGATTCTTGCATATCATCTTACTTTGAAGTTTAGTCTGGAAACCACGACATCGCCATTTGGAGTAATAATAGGAACATTTTCACAAATAATTCCATGATCAACATCAATAACTTTCCCTAGAAACAAACAAACAAAAAAAGATAATAATTAGAGTTTGTGAAACCTTCCATTAAGCAATGATATGTGACAGTCCCTGTGTATGGCTGGGAAGTAGAAATTGGTGAGTTTCAAACAACTCTTCTATGTGCTCCAGGTTCCCCTAGTGGAAAATCTAGATAATAAATCTTAACTAGTCAGAAAGACACTGTCAGCAGTAGCCAAGAGTGTGCAATGAATCCCAAATTTCATCATAAATATAATGGACAATATGCATCATAAATACATAATGCACTATAAAGAACGTTTATTCACATCCTACCTGTATTTACCGTACTTAGTTTTAAACAGGTGGTAAAAATCAACCAGTAAAAAAGTTCAAGGACAGCCTTAGCCACAGGCAGACCAGTTTACTTTCTGTTGGGGACTTCATTAGAAACTGGAATCTGCTTTCACTACCAGCTCTGAAACTCTGAGCCCAGTTCAGTCTCCTCCAGCAACGAGAGCAAAGAAGAAAACATTTGATGGCTTGCTTCCATCTCTTTTTGAAGCCATAGACACTGTAAACGTGTCTTGTAAGTACTTACTGAAACCCATATAACGTATTTCACTGCAGTAGCTACACTTACTATTTGGATTTCTGGCAAATTTAAATATACAATCTCAACTGGACATTTGGATACTCGGTAACGCAAGAACTTGGAAATATTTTTTTCTGGGAAGAGTGAAAAAATGAAACCAACTCTACCTTCTCAGTTGCCTGTTACTAGGCTTCGCTAACGAACCCAAACAGCCGGGCTCCTAGACAAATATCAGAAATTGCCTTTACAGACAAGATGCAAAGAAAAGAGATTTCTCTTTGCATTAGAAGGGCTTATTTTATAACTTACACTAATCTGAACAAAGAAATGTCTCCACAGAAAATTATCTTTCACAATCTTAAGCAAATTCTGCAAAATGTTTTTGAAGCACTTGGATACAATGGAGAAATTCTAGTTAAAATAAATCTATGATTTAAAATAGTAAGCTAAATAAGTATTAAGTAAACTCAATTCTCATTTCCTACCTTGCAGTGTCTGATTGCAACTTTAGGGTGCTTTAAAAGCATTTTTATGTGTATTCACAAATACAATTTGACAGTATTTGTACAAGATGTACAAAATTATATTTCAGCTTTAAAATTCTGAATTATTAGGTACACTATGTATATGACGATATTACTATCTGTTAAAAATATCTGAATACTCTTCATATTTTCACAATGTTCTTACTGACAACAGTAAATGCAAGGCACGGTGCAGCCATCCCTTAGTTAATTAAACTTACATTTGATGATTTAAAAGGAAATGAGTAGCATGTGTTATAAAAGCCTTTGGGGAAGCTGAATATTAAGATATATCTTTTCTAACAATGCAGACACATATACATATGTGAGCACGTGTACTTTTATCCACATAGAAATCTACTCTTCAGGGATTTCTGAAGTATCAAGACCAAAAGAAAGAAAGAAAAACAGTATTATAATGGGACTTGTCATAAAAAGTGTGGAGCCTGTGGCCTAGATTCATCTGGCCTAAATTCTCCTTAAGTCCTTGTGCACAATGCTTGGTATTGGCAAGCTGCCTCTGAGAGCCTACAACCGCTCAGGAGCAAACCCTAGTCAACACGACTTAGGAGGAATTCAGGCTGGATGAAATGTGTGACTGTAGTGGAATCAAATCTTGGGAAAAGGCTGCAGAGAAAAAAGGAGTGAGATATAAGTATACTTAGACCAAATGGGAACGTGAACAGCACGCTTGCGTATCTGAACTGTATTTGGGTTTGTGTTTAAAAACAGTTGTCTAAAAAGGGCTCCCAAATTACTTCGTTGCTCCAGGAACTACAAACCTTTTCTCTTGTACATGACAAAATGTAACAGTTATAAAATGCCATTTCTTTTAATGTCAGTCAAATACTACCAAGATCTACAAGATTAAGACATCAGCTATTTCCACAGCTATCCACCACGCCGCATCAGGCTGTTTGTTATGAAGAACCTTGTCAGAGGACCTTTGAGAAATCTGTGCTGAAGGGCAGCACTGTTGAAATTGTTGAAAGAAGTTATTTCATAAAGAGCGCTGTGGTGCCTTCAACCCTACTGAGGTTTAAGTTCTCAGAGGCCAAAGGGAGGGAATGAGGCTTTTTAACACCACAGAGGGGAGAAGTGGAAGGGGTCTGTTGGGAAAATTGGGAAAAGCCCATTGCAAAAGCTGCCTTTATGTACCTCAGAGAGAAGCTGGGCACAAGAGGAAGAGAGAGGTGGCACATAATGGAGCACAATAAGAAATGGATGCACACAGTGGCACCAGAAAGATACACAATAGCGACAGGAGGAATAAGGTATGTATCAATCAGATCATTTGGGAGGTGAGGGGAAAGGTAAAGTTGTCATCCCATTTTCAGTTGAAAATTCCCACTAAATTATGAAAAAATGAGCACAGCTTGATTTTTAATCACTGAAAACAAAGTAGTATTTTAATCAAAAACTGCTCAACCAGTCTGTCTTTCCCTTCTACCCCAAACAAAATAATGTGGTGTTTGAAGATGAAAAAGTTAGTCTCAGTCTTCTGAAAAAAAAACTGTCTCAGGAAAGCAGGCACTGTCCATGTAAGTATAGTAATATCACCGGCACCAATAATAGTATAGTTGAAATGCTTTTTTCATTGAAAGTTTTCACAGAAAATATTCAAGCCATTTTGTGTATTAGAAAAGCACCACATAAGCACAGAGTTACAAAATAGCAGGAGGTTAAAATGGAAGGCAACATGGTCTCTGGGGTATTAAGGCTGAGAGGCTGATTTGTTGTAGAAACTAAACCTCCGGTCACCTCCCGTCCCACTGCACCAGCCCCACACACAGGAAAATACACACAAATATGTATTAATTACCTTTGATTTCTAAGGGCCCATCGATGTGTAATTCTGCTTTATCTTCATTCTTGCTGTTGTTTTCAGACCCTTGAATAACAGCAGTTCTTTTGTAGATGCCTCTCTTCACCTCATCAAAGACTGCAAACATGTTGTAGACGCGGGCGGTGTAGCCTGCTAGCTCAGTAACCTGAGAAACAAGAAATGCCTCATTTCAGATATGCTTTACAAATTCTATAAACGAAAAGTTTAGCCAAAGATTCGTGAAAAACGTTCCCAGTTATTTTGAGTCAGTGCTTCTCAGATGTTACTCTGGAAGGATCAACGATGCATCTTTTGACGCCTATCAATTTGCATTCCTTGAGATCCTGTGCTAAGCCATATGCCACCCACAGCTGCTACCAGCCAGCAGAAAGAGACCGTTTGAGGGGGACAGCTTTCAGCCAATATAAGCTATGATAGCGCCAGTAAATGAGGAAGTTGCAGGGACTGCTCTTTTCCATGGGAGTCTTCAACCAGCAGAGAATAGCTATTAGCATATCTGAAAATAGAGAGCCTATCATACAAGAGAAAAACAAAATCTCTGCATTTGCCAGCAAAATAAAGGTCCACAGAAGTGAGAAGAACTGGCATCTATAATTATTTATGTTTACTTCTCTGTATTCCTGAAACCTCCTGTGGGAAAGGTGTGCTTTTCTGTGTAAAACAGGCAGCACCAGGGCATCCTAATCTAAAATACAGTGTGAAAAAGAAATTACTCTCTTTCAACTGCATGCTAGAGTACCAGAGCTAAATCTGACAGCTTGGATCAGAACTGGGCATTTTTAAGATGGTGAGGTCTCTTAAAAGGCTTTCTCTTTTTTTGGTCCTTTTGTCACAGTTCCCATGTGATGAAGACAGAAATAACAGATCTCTGGACCTGATAACTTCCTATTTGTGGGCAGCAACACCACCAAGAGCTCCCAAAGAACTGCCTTCATCTGCAGGCAGCAAAGAATAAAACCCGGGCATCGTTCTATAAATGTATTATTCGATGGTTTTTAAAGGCTGAATTTTTATAATAAATGCAGACAGCAAGACAAGAATAGCAAGAAAATGTGTTCAAGACTATAAAAGCATTAGCTTGCTGTGGTTAAACACATAAGCCCCATGATTGAGTTCACCTGCTATGGCGCACATAATTCCAAAATAAAATCCTGTATAAATTTCACTATTAGTGCCAGATTCAGAAGTGAGTGCTAGTTCTGGACATATGGCCATCACTCCACTGGAAGTTAACAAGTATACAATATCTCAAAAACCTCAGTTTAAAAAGAGTAATCACTCAATGTTTCAACTCCATCAGCCATACATTGTTTTGCACTATTGGTAATTGCATTAAAGCTGTGAAAGTATTGGGCTAAGAGCACTCAAGGCAATAGGTAACATGTAGGACCTGTAACATCATTCTCCACATTGGAGTCTTTC